CACACACACACACACACACACACACACACACACACACACACACACACCCTCTTTGACCCCTGTCAGGTCCCTCTTCACTACCCCACCCCCCCAAACCAGCGCTGTGTTGAGGCTCGTCTGTGAGGCAGCACTTCTCAGCACACTGGTGCGCTGAGGGGCCTAATAATCTTGTTTGCAGCTCAGTAATCCAGAGAGAAGAAGGATGACAGGGGAGAAGACGGATTAGGATCTCAACTGGAGGGGTCATCTGGAGCTACATCTCAAAAAGAACAATCTGTTGCTGGTTTTGAGAGCCTTTTTTTTTTTTTTTGAACCGGGAAATATTGGCAATAATGTATTGGTAGATATTAGAGTAGGCCTATCAATCTATCAGATCAATCTACAAATCGATCAGCTACAATAATACATCCCTTTTATGAACAAGGAGATGACAGAAAAACCCTGTAGTCGTGAATTATGTCAGACCATAGACTGTATACAAGAAATGGACCGTAGTCAATATGACGTTACCCATTGGGTTTGTGAACTGTTGTTTTGAAGCCTTGAGTTTGGCATTTTGGCCGTCGCCATCTTGGTTTTTGGCTGTTTGAAGAAATCATTTTTAGGCGACTGAAATTATAATTAACTGTCCTGAACTGAAAGCACACTGTGAAAGGGATAACGTTTTTAGACATTGGCCGGACAAACGCCATGGTAGCTACCTGTCAATCACAAGGTAGCCACGCCCTAAAGCATACCCTGCTCTCATGCTGTATTGAAGAAGACTTGAAACTATCGATTTAAACCATAAACACGTGTTTACAATGTTTACCGAGGTAGTAAATCAAGTGAGAAGTAGGGCCGTCTTCTCATAGACATTTATACAATCTGACAATGTCTTGTCCTCTGCGGTTTAAGGCACTTCTGCATTGGCTTCACCTTTCAGACCCGGAGGTTTCCGCCTGCATCGGACCCACACCTTATTACCACGACGTGTATAGTTATCACGGTTAAATAGGTAGAATTTGGTCAATTACATGCACAGCAAATAAAAAAAATTTGTGTTCATGTAAAAATGAAATTGACGGTAGAAAAGAAAGTAAGAAAGAAATTGGAAATATTCAGGGTCTGAATCTCTCAGCCCATCTAACTCGCACTTTTGAGATCCCTGTGCAATTTCTAGGAAATAAATCCTCAGGTTGCTCAGCAGAACAAAAGGTACTGTTGTTTCTTAAAGATTCGGAGCTTCACATGATAAATCATTCACGTCTCCTGTCTGACTCACCTGACATCCTCCAGCTTCCGGGTGATGGCCGAGCCCACGTTGGAGAACGCTGCTGTGGCCTTCAGACCTGCCTGAGACAATGTTTCAGACGTCCTCCTGTAGCTGAGAGAGAGAGAGAGGAGGGAGACGGAAAGAGAATGAGGGAGAAGACATGGGTAGCGAGATGGAGATATGGAAGTGATGAAAGGAGCCCGAGAGATCAAAAGACTTAAGAGAGGCATCAAGGTCAGAACTAAACCTCAACATCTTTTTCATTTTAGAAAGCCTGAAAGCATCACAATGCTGCTCGTTTCCTGTGATATAAAAACCCATCACCCCCACATGCTCCAGGCAGCTTGTCAAGAACACTGACGTCTTACTCATTGTTCAGCGGAGAAAGAGCCTTCTCTCAACAGTGCTGACAGCTTACTTTATTTTCAAGGCATTCAGTAGAGAAATAAAGGAAACATTATGGACAAGAAAGCAGTTGATCGTGAGGTTAAAAAGAGGACGAGCATACTGTGGTGGGTGAGGCACTCACACGGTGGAGGTGGTGACGTCCTGCCAGGTTTTGGTGAAGTTCTGTTTCAGCTCGTTGAGAGGTGTGATGCCCAGCTTCCCCTTGATGTCCGCCAGCTGCTTCTCCTTGGCTGCCAGCACCTGTGACAGAGTCAGGATCTCGTCCTCAACCTACACACACACACACACACACACACACACACACACACACACGCACACACACACACACACACAGTTGGAAACTTGTATGTAATAGTGGATTCTGGACAGTTTAGACGGATAGGACATGGTATTGGAAGACATCAACTTTGGACACTGGGGAATTGTGACGTTTTTCTTACATTTCATTTTGTTAATTAAGCTAGTTAGTTGGTATCCTACTGCCTATTCTACATGTAAAGTAAAGGGAAGCTGCCACAACGAGTGGTTAAAAGACCTGCTGGAAATATTGGCTGTGATGTGAATTACAAATCCAACATCTAAGGCAAAAGCTAAGTGGTTGGATCAGTTACAGGGGCAACAAGGGACCTAGAAATGAGCATCGTGTTGCTATGGAAGGCTGCTGTGTAAACACAGCCCAGCTCACAGCATACATTACCCACGTACAAGGTATTGCCAGACTCCAAAGCGGCAATCAAAGCGTTGTATATTCGAGCCTTCTTTTAAAAACCCTTACAGATTATTTGCATTAATGGGTCGAACACCTGATCTTGACTCCCTGAACCAAGACCTGTTTAATCCCTAATCCCTCCTGTCCTGACCTTGAACAACTCTTCCTGTAGCTCCTGGTGCTCCTCCTCCGTCATGGCGGGGGGAGGGGGAGGGGGGCCGACAGACGTCACTGCATCTTCTCCCACTTCTGGGACCGAGTCCGGATGCTGCTGGGAACCTGGGAGGTAAAATAAAAAAATAAATAGTTAAATCCAGCCCGTGTTTGCTGTGTGACAGTGAACAGGTGGTGTGGGAGCGGAGGCTGATGTTGGTTGTCAAACTCCGCTCAGCTGTCATGCTGCTCCGCTGGAGGATGGGGGAAAAGAAAGGAAGCTCGTAGTAGGTGAATATGTGAATGATATCAGATAAGAGTTTAGGTAAATGAAGGATGCTAAAGATGCAGTTTAATGATAGGTGGTAGCCAAGAGGGGAAATATTCATTCCCACTGTACCGCTACACCAAACACCTTCTCCCTCTCACGGATCCATGTTCCCCTCCACACACACACATACAGTATACAGTGAGCACACACTTGTCTTTGATGTTGCCGCCTCTGACAGAGTTGTGGCCAGCAGGAGCAGCAGTGCATCAATAATACAAAGAACTTCCTAGATGGAGACATCCTGTGCTGAGACAGCGCAAGAGAACAGAGCAAAGGAGTTGTTCAGATCTGTCAGTCAAGAGGACAACAGCGGGCCGGGCCAGACCTGAGCTGGAATCGGGTGACACAAATGTGCCAGATACAAAATAAACCACAAGGGACTATACTGTGTCATTACAACGGGGGAAGGCAGAACTGAAGTATAGACTGAAAGGGGGCCAACATAGACCTGAAAGTACATTTCATTAAAACATTTAATCATTTAACTTCTGAACCCGTTGTGGTAATAGCAAGCTGATGTGTGTTGGCCTTGTAAACAGAGAAGGAAGCGAAAAAACATTAAATGAACAAGAACATCTTTGCCATTTGTCTGGTTGTTGTTGGTTATTTTATTCAGATAACACAATGGCATGTTAACTTGCCATGGAAAAGATTGAACATTTATGAAAGCATATAATCCCACAAAGAACACAGCTGAATTGAGTCACAACTGTGTGGAGAACTGCTCATGACGTAACACTGTTTTCCAGCCTTCCAATAACAAAGTGTCATCCGGTCAGGACTGGGATTAACAGAGTGGGAAAAAAGAAGCGCTGATTGGATGCGTCTCATGCTAAAAATATTTATACGTGTCAAAACATGCATGGGATCCATCTGAAAATCTGTCAATCATTTTACAGATGAAGTGAGTGGGAATAGTATTCAGACACCACCCCCACTGTTCCTCTGAAGCGTTACACTTCATCTGCCCTCGAGCTCTCCCCCCCCCCACATCTTACATTTGCCTTCTCTTCCCACAACCGATGATGCAGCAGTGCCACTTACACACACACTCGTGTGTGTATATAATATATATATATATATATATATATATATATACACATATACTATGTGTAACGATACGCGCCTGCTGACAGTGACCAAACCGTGTAATGGACACTTCCCCTCAGTCACTAACAGAGCTAACTCCCCCTCCTTATTGAATGCTTCTATTATTTTGATAACCCACATTATGCTGCTTTTTGTAAGATTACAGTAAACATCCAGCACTTTTCTCGGGGTGAGAAGAACAGGTTCAGTAGGCCGACGCCTCTCCTGAGTTATCTAGCCGTGTACAACTTTGAAATACATTTCTGCAGGCAGCAGAGCCAGATCTGTACGTGCGAGTGGGGAGGTAGCTGTGCAGCGCATGTGTGCCTTCGGAGGTGTGTTTCCATCAGTATAGGTGCTGTGAGCAAGAGAGAAGGAAATAAGACTTGGAAAGGGAGAGAGAGCAAGAGAGAAGTTTGTATGTGGAAGCAGAAGTATGGCTGGCTTCACCAAACTGCACCCACATTACTGCCCCACCCCTCTGCTGTAGCTCGTTTCCTCTGAGACGAGCAGGCTCTGCCAAACGGCCCCCTAACTCTCTGCAGCAGTTAAATCCAAAACAACTAGACTAGACAATTAAACTATTATATAATTAGAAACGCATGCCTGAAATACAGACTTGCCAAACTGCTTGCACATAATTATCTCTTCGTTGGTGATAATGAGTCACAAGCAAAGCTCTACAACTGTCCACCGAACTATTGTAGCCTAGTCATCGTAATAGTTGGTACTTTGTTATTGTGACTAAGCCACTCTTCATATCGGTCATCGGCAGCACAAAGGAATGTGGAATCAATAGATTACTTTCTTTAGTCTGGAAGCCTTTTAATTGAATTACTTTTTTTTTTTTTTTTTTTTTTTTTTAAATTGAGGTATAATAAATTCTTACTGCCAAGATAAAATAATATGACAAGACTGAAATAGTTAGTAAAAATTTTAAATATAGATGTGATTTGATCTCCTGTAGTCCATCTCCACACACTATAATGAAACAATAAAGGCCTTTTCTTTTTCTGATGCAGTGTGGCAAAGACAATTCAAAGACAAAGCAGTTGATACCTCTGATATTATGTGTTCTCCAATTCCTACAAAATGAAAAGCAGTCACATTGAAAGACAGTAAAACATCAACTTTATGGGCAATTTTCTAAAGGTGGACCCTAAAAGATGCAATCACACTTTTCACAATTTCAAAATTTCAGAAAGCCCACACAGTGAGGTGGAGACCAATGTGAGCTATGGTGCAGATCTAAAAACATTATAAATATTAAGATATGGAGGTCATTTGAGTCCATGCTTTGAAAAATATGTAAAGAACCCAAATGAAAGCAAGATAGATGAAAACATCTTGTACCAAACAAGAGTTGTGCAATTAAATATTCAGAACCATAACAAAATAAATAAAAAAAGTAGACTAAAAGTCTACAGGTAAACTGAAAAGTGGCAAAAGATGCTGACACACACACACACACACACACACACACACACACACACACACACACA